CGAACCTTAAGGTCAGCGGTTCGAAACTACCAGCTGCTCCTCGGGAGAAAGATGAGGCTTTCTACTCCCGTAAGGATTTACACCCTCAGAAACCCTGTACAGGGTCGCTATGGGTCGGAACCGACTCGACGGCACTTAACAACAACAACAAGGAGGCTAGATGCCTGAATTCAGGGCACTAACTCTAGGGCAACATTCTCTGTCCACTCTGGAGGAAAATTATTGTGTTTACAGCTTTTCTCCCTCATTTCCATGCATATCTTCAAACAGCATCAATCTTTCGCCACTTGTGCATCTGTGCTTTTGTGCCTACCACAGTAGACATTTTTTCTATATACATTTTTTAAAGTGGAGCACTTAAAAAAATTTGTATGTCCTTGCTCAGAGGCCATGCTAATCTTTTCTCTGTGTCATTCCAATTTTAGTGTATGTGCTGCTAAAGCGAGCACTTAGATGAAGATTTTTAAAAATTGAATCTTAGGAGGTAGAATTTCTTAGGCATATGTTTATTTTTTAAATCTTTTACATATAGTGTTATATCTTTAAATAAGAAAATATATATCCCTTTCTTCTGAGCTTTATATTAAATAGCAGTTACGTGTCTGGTGATTGTAGACTGTCAGAATGAATTAATCTTTTTTCCTCCTTGTGAGTAGGAAGGATGTAAGATTTTGAATGACTAGAGTGACCCTAGATAGTGATCATATTGAGAAAATTGATCTTTTTTAGCCTCAACTTGATCTGGTGTTCTTTACACTCACCATGCTGCTTCCTGCTTTTGTACAGGTTATTATTTCTGTAGGTATTCTGTCCCTGTTTTCCAAATAGCATTATACTTAAAGTGTACAGTTTGTAAGTTTTGACATATGAATATATTAATGAAACTGTTGCCACAATCAAGATAATGAACACATCTGTCTCCCCATGAAGTTTCTTTATACCCCTTTGTTATACTTCCCACTTGTTCTTTCCTCACCCAATTCCCAGAAAACCACTGATCTGTTTGCTTTATTTTGTAATTTTTAAAGAGATTTATATAAATGAAATCATAATTTCTTTGTCTTAAGGTTTTACTCAGCATAATTACTTAAAAAGATTCATTCATGTAGTTTTCATATTAATAGTTGATCCCTTATATTACTGAGTTGTATTCCATTGTATGGATGTATCACAATTATCTGTTCATTTATTGATAGACATTTGTATTGTTTCCATTTTTTTCACTATAATAAACTAAGCTCTCTGAATATTTATATACAATATTTGTATGGGCATATGCTTTCAATTTTCTTGGCTAAATACTAGGAGTACGAGTGTTGGTTCATACTATGTGTTTAAAAATAAAATACCAGTGAAGGTCATTATGCTGAGTAAGAAAAGTCAATCACAGAAGGACAAATAATATATATGACCACTATTTAAAAATTCAAAATAAAAATGTTTTCACACTGAAAGAGACATTCTTTTATGGTTATGGGGTGGGATGGGGGAGGTGAAAGGAGGTGGATCATTGGATGGATGGAGGATTGTTGTTGTTGTTGTTGTCATCGAGTGAGTTCTGACCCATAGTGACCCTGTTTAGGTTTTCCAAGAGAATGAATGAAGACTTCCTTGTATAGTGCAGTAGGATCAGCATTGGACTGTGAACCATGAGGTCAGCGGTTCAAACCCATCAGCTGCTCCTTGGAAACCCTATATAGTGTCACTATAAGTAGGAACCAACTTGATGGCATCTAACAACAATAATGAGAATGACTTATAATTGTTTTATGATCTGTCTGAAATAGATCCACCTTTTTCAATCACCTTCTTAATTGTCTGTCTCTGTAAGTGCCAGATCAGTATGTAAAACTTAGTATGTTCCTTCTTGACTCATTTAATTATTAATAAGTATATAGGATTTCTGCAGAATAGCTGGTGGATTTGAATTGCAGACCTTGTGATTCATGGTGCATTGTTGATCCTACAGCACCACATCAGGATTCTGTAGGCTTAATTAGCTAAGAAAAAAAATACTACAGTGCACTAGAGATTTGAGTCTGAAAAATAAAACTGATCTGTTTTAATTGATAAACATAAATGGGGGAAAACTGTGTTAACCAAAATATTAAGCTGTCCATGTTTTATATAGAAATGATAGAAGTGTTGTCATTGCAAAGTATTTGAAACTTTTAAAGAGTTTAAGTTAGCTTAGACATAAGAATTTTGACTACATGGTTAGATTTCTTTTTCTAGTTTCAGCTTCCTGTGAACTAACAATGTATCTTATTTTTATAATTACTTTTTTTTTTTAATTTAAGGTTTTTATTGTGGATTGAGTGAAAGTTTACAGGGCACATCATCAGTTTCACATTCAACAATTCATATAACTTG